CTCATACAAATGGCCGTTTGTTCTGCAAATGCATGGTCCGCTTTCTCGTCAATTCCTTTGTTGTCTATGTACTGTTGTTTGTGCCTATTTTTCTTCCAAATTATGTTGTTTTTTCTTTGAATTGATAGAAAGTTTTTCTGTTTAGAGTGATTATTCTTAGCTTCATTTTATTTTCCGTTTGTTGGGATTTGTTTCCGAGAATTCCTTCAGTAGGCTTGTGCCTGCATGGCCGTATTATCTTCAAGGTGACGATTCTGAGTTGGTAGTAACTAACGTCCGTTTATCTCGCCGCTTAGAGCCGAAGTGATCTTATTCACGAATACATACACCGTTCACTCAGTAATACTGCATTCACAATTACCGTTCTATTTTCATAACGTTAAACGACCAAATAGAAATCATTTTCTTGCTAATTCGTACTACGTGACTCAAACGCAATAAAATACATTTATAATATGTCCACTGATGACAAAAGAACATGAAAACTCAAATATAAAATATCTGCAACATGAATGCATTTGGATGATAGGTCCTATATAATACTAGAATGCATTTGGATGATAGGTCCTATATAATACTAGAATGCATTTGGATGATAGGTCCTATATAATACTAGAATGCATTTGGATGATAGGTCCTATATAATACTAGAATGCATTTGGATGATAGGTCCAATATAATACTAGAATGCATTTTGATGATAGGTCCTATATAATACTAGAATGCATTTGGATGATAGGTCCTATATAATACTAGAATGCATTTGGATGATAGGTCCTATATAATACTAGAATGCATTTGGATGATAGGTCCTATATAATACTAGAATGCATTTGGATGATAGGTCCTATATAATATAATACTAGAATGCATTTGGATGATAGGTCCTATATAATACTAGAATGCATTTGGATGATAGGTCCTATATATTACTAGAGATGTTGGTTATGAGAGGCCAATAATGCAGGCCATTACAGCGTATTGATTGAAACACCAGTGGACAGAATAAAATATATCTGCCTAGATATGATATGAGATAAATTGACCATATAGATCACCAATAACCCTTTAGAAAATACAGTCTTCATACCCATTCTCAAAATGGCACTGTTGCTTATTTTTTATTGTAGTTCTCTAAACAATTTCAAGGGATTTCCAAAATTGAATTTGAACATTTATAATTATACAATGTGTTATAAATTAGTAGTATTGCATTGTATTCATTGCAAATTCTACAGATAATCTCAAGAAGCACATCAAGAAGAGATGGCCCAAACCTTGCTGTAAAGCATAGAGTTAAGCAAGTCAAAAAGCACATCAATCATTAGCCTAAATATTCCAGCCAATGAAGTGAGCCAATGGAATTCAATTGAATAAATGAATGAACTATGTAAATAGATTGACACATTCAATCACCAGAATTATAGAAGAGGAATTTGACTTATAATAATTATTGAACATCTCATATGCCTCCTTGCCATTTGTTTATTTCGACATTGTGCCCCTGGGGCCGAATGTCTAAGTTTGCAGTTGGTGTGGCAACTGGGTAGATAATAAAATCCATTGATCCAAAGATAGCAAGCATAATCTTGGAGAAATGTCAGATCCTCGAGGACCCGAATATTACCAAAGGTTCCAGCATGATTTGAAATATTTTAGTGAGATTCTGGGACATCAATATTAAAAAACAACACACAAAAATATTATCACAGCTTTGCGATGTAAAACTATTACTAAGTCTTATTGCAAGCATCTAGATTCATGAAGTCAATGATATTTTTCTAAACTTTCTTTATCATTTAGATCTTTTTACTAAGATAAAAATTTGCGAAAAAAGTTCAAATGATATAATAAATCAAATATTCCATTCTATTTTCAGTGAATACACGTTCATCTTTTCCAGCTGTCGAAAGAGTGAAGGACTGAACATGCATTCACCTCAATATCATAGATTTTTAGTAAACTCGATAATCATGATCATGAGCTGTTTACTTCCAACTGTGCTGCAATCTAACTCAAGCAGTAGCTACTTTATTATCTCACAAAATGCAACAAATCTGATATCACAATGTATCTGCATCATCTAAGACCCAAAGGTAACTTCAATACATGTAGTTTCTCATGAAAAAGATGCTGAATTTCAAAAATCACAGGTACTACTACCACCAGAGAAAAATATCATGCTTGCAACAATCAGTCAGAAACTGAAGGGATGTGTGTCCATGTACATGGTAACATCTTAAAATTCAAACAGGGCTACTTAAAATCCAAATCAACAAAAGGAAAGAAAAATACATTTAAATAAAGCAAAGGGGTAAACTAGACACCAGATGAAAACAGTAGTTAAACCTATTTCACATAAGTATAATTGACTTAGCAAGACAATTGAATTAGCACAAATATATAAGCAGATTATAGTAGGTGTCATATAATGCTCAGTTAGCAAACTGTGAAACTTGGCTGTAAACTTTTGATCTTATACATGTGCCAATCATATCTTAATTTCCTTTGTTTATGGCTAAGTGTATGATGCTAATATTGCATGATGCTAATTGTCTCATTTTGATCATATCATAACATAACATGAACATTCTACTGAGCTTGAAAACAAAATATTTTATCAATTATCTCATATCATATACAAGGTTATTTACATTTGTAATGTAGATAAATAGTACTAAGATATATCATTCTATGTTCCCACTTGAACAAGCTACATGGCAAGCCAACCATATCTCGTGAGCAATTTTGGATAATTTATTGACCACAATCATCATGTAAATCTATGATTTTTTATAAAAATACATTTGCTATATAAATAAACATGAATGGTAGATGGTATTTTTCACATGAGAATCAACACATTCAAAGCACAGGTCCTGTGAATGACAAATTCAGTGAATGAATCAACTGACATTTTGGTGACTACAACCTTTAGCATGTTAAGAAAATAGTAAAACACATGATGTCAACAATATGACCTGGATTCAACAAAAGATGTTTCATGATGATGACTTTTGAAAAAAAAATTAAAAAATTGTTGAATTATACTTCCAACGCCCACACCAACATATCCCATAATTTTTATGGAGTAGCATAAATAAGTAGTATGCCTTAAACAACCTTGTTAGTGGTTTATCTACAACTAGAGTGCATGAATGAATTTGTAATTCAGCATAAGAAAACCTCACTTTTGAATGAAAACATTCAAGATTTTCTAAACATTTTATAGATTTAGTTTTAGTATTCCATTGATCCTCTGTGTTTCCCAGCACTTGACATATTTAAGAAATGGTAAGATATGTTGTTTTTGGGGAGGTCTAATGACTTGTTCATGTTGGTTGGGTTCCTGATTGATTGGATGGTTTTCAGCAAGAAAATTGTATCAGACTATTCTACTTTACTATCAACTTACCTGTATGAAATATTTGTAAAAGCTAGCAGTAGAGAGGAATTAGCAAAGAATCGAATCATGATACCTTAGAACTTTATGTTATACAGAGATATCAGACAACATATTTTTCCTACAACTTTTAGATTGAAATGGCATGATGTAAGCATGGATAGAAATATCTCAAGCAAAGGTGAATACAAGGCAGATGTCTAGTCTTGCTTATAATAACCATGTATGTTTTTTTATTTTGAACCATTTCAGCTGTTGACCTGTATACAAAATATGACATCATGTTCAATGAAGAATGAAAGAAGCAAATTAATCTTATTCACAAAAATCAACCTGGCTATGTTACTGAGTTAATATTTGAATTTATTTGAGCTTACCCTTTTTAACATGAACTTGGAGAATAAACTACCTTTTTAATATTTCAACTTTTCAAATGAAAATTTATTCATTTGAAAAGAATTTCAACAGGACTAGATAGCATCCACATATTTTCTTTTGGGTTTTATACTAACCCTTCAAATATGCAAAGTCTGTCTCAGCCAACCAGCTTAAAGTATTTCAGTGCATTAATTTGAGCAGTGCTATTATTGGTAAAAGAGTAACATCATCACAGTGCATTATGGTTTCATAAAGAATTGGACATTGTTATTTTTATAAAGGAGTGATAGTATATTTGAATTGCAATAAAGAACCTTGTATCATTTTTATTGGATTTCAAAGCATTCATACATGTACTTAGCAATATGCATTCTATATTTTACATTAGAGTGAATGGCTATTTTTAGGTTCTATTCAATAAAAGTGACTTCCTCAATTTAATAATTTCAACTTGGCAGTTGAGTAATAAAAAACTATGAATAATGGCATGATAAGCAGCAAGACAGGTACTTATGCAAGGCAAAGTGTCAAAATGTCAAATCTTGCCAAAACCCTGCAAAAATGATTCTGGTTGAATTCCATTCTTTTTAGTGATACTGTACAAAACCCTTTGCAAGGTGTGAAAAGAACTTGAGCACATGACTCAATGAATTCGAAGTCTCTGTACAAGACATTCATGCTTAAAATCATTCATAATTCATTGAGTCCTGGCTTAAATCCTTCAATGAAGGATGATTTACAATGTTAAATTGTTAGTATTTTAGGAATGATCCACAAAAACATACACACACTAGGGTACATTTTAGACATGTATAAGATGATCCTGTGACTATACTCATGTTATTCATAACTGTATTGTGAATAATAATATTATTAGTGACTAAAAGCGCTTAAATTAAATGTTAAAAATGACATATTCCTGTGATACAACTTTGGTATGTAACCATTTACATAAACCCCTTTAGACACCTAGACAAAATCGCCATAAATGACTTCCTTATATGAACAATGGTTAAGCTAAGACACCAGATATAACATGCAACAGATGGCTATTACTCAAATGTATCATAATGAATATACCAATTGTTAACCCAAAATATTATCATGCTACGTTTGAATAATACCAGTTAACCCTAAGAATGGTTAAATCATGTAAAAAACTTAAAAATACACAGCTTTAACAATGTGCAGTGAGACATATCCAGATACATTCACATACCTTTAGTGGTGGACTCAGGTTCCGGAGTGACTATATCTAATAAAGCAAAGAAAGCTTGTGATGCAACATTGGTCTAAACATCACATTGGCACTTGGTAATGCAACATTGGTGTAACATTACCCTTATGATGCAAAAGTGGTGTAAACATCACTTTTATGAAGAAACATCGGTGTAAACATCACCTCTATGATATATAATATTGGTATAAACATCACCTTTTAATGATGCACCATTGGTCTAAACACCAACTCTGTGATGTAACATGAGTGTAAACATCAACTTTGTGATGTAATATGAGTGTAAACACCAACTCTGTGATGTAACATGAGTGTAAACACCAACTTTGTGATGTAATATGAGTGTAAACACCAACTTTGTGATGTAATAAGAGTGTAAACACCAACTTTGTGATGTAATATGAGTGTAAACACCAACTTTGTGATGTAATATGAGTGTAACCATCACTCAATAAAATTTTGATGAACACATCACATCTCATTTGAAATATATAGAAACATTTGATAATATATAGATAAATACCTCATAATTCAGATGTTAACAATTTGTAGTTACTATCTTTCTCTGGCGATAACTGTGTTAAATTGCAAAGAACATCTACATAAACTTATCTGTAGTCTCCTAGAAGACTGTAAATCACTATAGCGCCAATCTACTTAATGGGGAATATTGATCCTGGAGCATTTGAGCATTTTAACAAAACAGAAGAACTCAAGAGATTTCAAGATCAGAAAATTCGTTCTGTTTTATAGCAATTTGGAATATCAAGAGCTCTGACATATAAGGTAGTTTTCCATAAATTATTCAAAGGGACTGCGGAAAGGAGCGCAAGTCATGCAAATAGTAAAAGAAAGTCATCCTCCAAATGCCTTTATGTTTGCACAATATCATCATATAGCAAAGATCAGGTTTGGAGAATGAAGACACTGTCACGGTTAAGGATGTTACTGAGAATGAATGGCAATGTTGATGGCAATGTTGATGACAAAAGATGATAAAAGACATCATGTAAAACAAAGTGCCATTTAATTTGAGTTTAAGTAAACTTGCAACTTGTGTTAACATGTTTGTTACATGCAACCTGATTGGTGTTATAGACAGCAATGAAAAGAGTTTCCATTACTATAAACCAGATAATGAAATTCTATGTTTTTGATATATGATATTAAGGAATTCTCAAAAACTCATTCAAATGCAAAGATTTCCATGATTTTCTAAATATTCAACTGTGTGGGAAAGCAAGTAGCTGTTCAAGCTGGGTGCAGCAGAGTTATATACAAGAGTCATCAGTTCAAAGTTTTGAACAGAAGCCATCATTTTAATTAGCATCCTTTCCGTGAACCAAGCATTCTCTTAGTATGCTTGGATTAGTACAGAATAATATAGCTGGTATAAAATATATCACAATGCAGAACTTTTACAATATGCATTTAATAAATAAGTAGAGTTAATTAGCACTTAAAAGTATTAGATTCTTTACTTAAATCCTGATAACCATTAATATTCGCAGTAACACAGTAAAATATTCCATGCTGGAAATCACACATACCTGAGTTGACTGTTACAGTGTATGTCTTTACAACAATATCATCAGGGGTGTTTACGTCATTTTGTACTTTCAGAGTCCATGTGCTTTCACCGACCATCTCCTCTGTGACATTCACTTCAGCTCCAGATGATGTGATGAGTGTCTTGTTCTCTCCAGCAGGCAAGATTTCCCAGTTAAAACCAGCGACAGGGTTGGCATCAGCTGTTGCTACAATCTTTTGTCCAATGCTAAGGACATTTGCTTGAGAATCATCAAGGCTAGTTGCCTGAACATTACGTGGCATGTCTGAAAACACAGGAATCAAGTGATTTTCATGAGAAGCAGCTTTTAAACAATACAATTCTCTCTAAAAATGTTTAAGTGATAACTAAGATGTAGCATTACATTACAACAGTGAAATGGGTTAAAGTATTAAGGCTATTGGTAGTATGCATAACCCAATCATATATACATAAATGCGGAAGAATTATAATGCCCCAACTGTACCAAGAGCTTGAGCAATGTATGGAAATTAAGGAATCTCTCCAACAATGCTTATATATCAAAAGTTATTAAGTAATATATAGAGGAAATAAACGTAACACAATACATTATTAGCTATTATAATATGTCAGTTACACATCCCTGCTCAATAATTAATAATTAATGAGTCTAAGGTGAATGATATGATTACATCTCTCCAGATGGCCATTTACATTGTCCATTTAGATGGTCTATTCGAATAGACTATTCTCAAGTACTAATAGCTTCTCTGCCACGTTGTTCACGTTGGTATCAGTAAACCACTGAACTTAGAAAATGATAAACACAGGAGAAATTTGACAATATCTTGCTAAATAGGACTGAAAATTTTGGAAGGGGTCCTCTTTATTAATGTAACATATGATGATTGCTATTGTTAGATAATATAATAAAAACACGATACTGTAATGTTAACAAATTCTATAAAGTTTGCTTATAAACATGAGGGACATCCTCTCACCATTGCATAGTAGTTATATAACATGTTGTTCTAAATTATCTAATAATTATCAATTAATAGACAGATGTATTGAGTGATTTATAATTATTTCCCTCTTGCCATTATAATAACACATTTGTAAGTTCATCAAACCCTCATTAAAATTGATAACTTCATCCCTAACAATGTTCTAACAAGGTATATTATTATCCCATCAAACATAGTTTGGAAGGGATATTCAAAAATTATATGGATGGATGTAGAAATGAGACATTACTTCTGCCTGAATATGTAATGTTCAGACTGACAAGTGATTTGACAGAATACCAAGTAAAGTAGACATAATTCTGCTTGGCCTTTGAGAGTTCAAAATGTAAGGTTTTGCCCAACATTAAGAGAGGGAATTGAGAAATTGTAACTAACAAGGAGAATTCTTAAAAGGCAGATATAGGGAGATATAATTCAGCATATGTATTGAGATAGCATGCAGTCTCACCTAACAAACCAATATCAACATTTGACAATAAAATCAGGGTTGTTACTAAACAAAGCAAGATAGTATAGATGCCAATATAGCATTATCTAATAGAGGCTGGTTTGTATCGATCTGGACCACTCCTCAGTGAGATTTAGCTTGAGTGAAATTACATACATTATGCTCAACACAATGCCTCAACTAGGCTTACAGAATACTGAGGAACATAGCATAAAATACATTATGCTCTATTCATATATAGCTATTATCTGTGAATGAAACTTCTACATATTAAATTGTATATGAACTTCACTTTGAATTAGAAAATAAAACATACCACATACTTTTTATTTATTGTTTATTACTTATTTAGGACTTGTGCAGATAATTCATGAGTTATTTCAGATAAGATTATTCTGAATGGCCATACCCTAAATAAGAGAGAGTCAAATGACCGCCATAAAATAGACAGTGGAGGAGAGATAGAAGACTTTATAGCAATGGCAGCCATAAAATAGACAGTGGAGGAGAGATGGAAGACTTTATAGCAATGACAGCCATAAAATAGACAGAATAGACAGTGGAGGAGAGATAGAAGACTTTATAGCAATGACAGCCATAAAATAGACAGTGGAGGAGAGATAGAAGACTTCATAGCAATGAGAGCCATAAAATAGACAGTGGAGGAGAGATGGAAGACTTCATAGCAATGGCAGCCATAAAATAGACAGTGGAGGAGAGATGGAAGACTTTATAGCAATGACAGCCATAAAATAGACAGTGGAGGAGAGATGGAAGACTTTATAGCAATGGCAGCCATAAAATAGACAGTGGAGGAGAGATGGAAGACTTTATAGCAATGGCAGCCATAAAATAGACAGTGGAGGAGAGATGGAAGACTTTATACCAATGGCAGCCATAAAATAGACAGTGGAGGAGAGATGGAAGACTTTATAGCAATGACAGTCATAAAATAGACAGTGGAGGAGAGATAGAAGACTTTATAGCAATGACAGCCATAAAATAGACAGTGGAGGAGAGATAGAAGACTTCATAGCAATGAGAGCCATAAAATAGACAGTGGAGGAGAGATGGAAGACTTTATAGCAATGGCAGCCATAAAATAGACAGTGGAGGAGAGATAGAAGACTTTATAGCAATGGCAGCCATAAAATAGACAGTGGAGGAGAGATAGAAGACTTTATAGCAATGGCAGCCATAAAATAGACAGTGGAGGAGAGATGGAAGACTTTATACCAATGGCAGCCATAAAATAGACAGTGGAGGAGAGATGGAAGACTTTATAGCAATGACAGCCATAAAATAGACAGTGGAGGAGAGATGGAAGACTTTATAGCAATGACAGCCATAAAATAGACAGTGGAGGAGAGATGGAAGACTTTATACCAATGGCAGCCATAAAATAGACAGTGGAGGAGAGATGGAAGACTTTATAGCAATGACAGCCATAAAATAGACAGTGGAGGAGAGATGGAAGACTTTATAGCAATGACAGCCATAAAATAGACAGTGGAGGAGAGATGGAAGACTTTATACCAATGGCAGCCATAAAATAGACAGTGGAGGAGAGATGGAAGACTTTATAGCAATGACAGCCATAAAATAGACAGTGGAGGAGAGATGGAAGACTTTATAGCAATGACAGCCATAAAATAGACAGTGGAGGAGAGATGGAAGACTTTATAGCAATGGCAGCCATAAAATAGACAGTGGAGGAGAGATGGAAGACTTTATAGCAATGGCAGCCATAAAATAGACAGTGGAGGAGAGATGGAAGACTTTATAGCAATGGCAGCCATAAAATAGACAGTGGAGGAGAGATGGAAGACTTTATAGCAATGGCAGCCATAAAATAGACAGTGGAGGAGAGATGGAAGACTTTATAGCAATGACAGCCATAAAATAGACAGTGGAGGAGAGATGGAAGACTTTATACCAATGGCAGCCATAAAATAGACAGTGGAGGAGAGATGGAAGACTTTATAGCAATGACAGTCATAAAATAGACAGTGGAGGAGAGATAGAAGACTTTATAGCAATGACAGCCATAAAATAGACAGTGGAGGAGAGATAGAAGACTTCATAGCAATGAGAGCCATAAAATAGACAGTGGAGGAGAGATGGAAGACTTTATAGCAATGGCAGCCATAAAATAGACAGTGGAGGAGAGATAGAAGACTTTATAGCAATGGCAGCCATAAAATAGACAGTGGAGGAGAGATGGAAGACTTTATACCAATGGCAGCCATAAAATAGACAGTGGAGGAGAGATGGAAGACTTTATAGCAATGACAGCCATAAAATAGACAGTGGAGGAGAGATGGAAGACTTTATAGCAATGACAGCCATAAAATAGACAGTGGAGGAGAGATGGAAGACTTTATACCAATGGCAGCCATAAAATAGACAGTGGAGGAGAGATGGAAGACTTTATAGCAATGACAGCCATAAAATAGACAGTGGAGGAGAGATGGAAGACTTTATAGCAATGACAGCCATAAAATAGACAGTGGAGGAGAGATGGAAGACTTTATACCAATGGCAGCCATAAAATAGACAGTGGAGGAGAGATGGAAGACTTTATAGCAATGACAGCCATAAAATAGACAGTGGAGGAGAGATGGAAGACTTTATAGCAATGACAGCCATAAAATAGACAGTGGAGGAGAGATGGAAGACTTTATAGCAATGGCAGCCATAAAATAGACAGTGGAGGAGAGATGGAAGACTTTATAGCAATGGCAGCCATAAAATAGACAGTGGAGGAGAGATGGAAGACTTTATAGCAATGGCAGCCATAAAATAGACAGTGGAGGAGAGATGGAAGACTTTATAGCAATGGCAGCCATAAAATAGACAGTGGAGGAGAGATGGAAGACTTTATAGCAATGACAGCCATAAAATAGACAGTGGAGGAGAGATGGAAGACTTTATACCAATGGCAGCCATAAAATAGACAGTGGAGGAGAGATGGAAGACTTTATAGCAATGACAGCCATAAAATAGACAGTGGAGGAGAGATGGAAGACTTTATAGCAATGACAGCCATAAAATAGACAGTGGAGGAGAGATGGAAGACTTTATAGCAATGGCAGCCATAAAATAGACAGTGGAGGAGAGATGGAAGACTTTATAGCAATGGCAGCCATAAAATAGACAGTGGAGGAGAGATGGAAGACTATAGCAATGACAGCCATAAAATAGACAGTGGAGGAGAGATGGAAGTCGAACAAATGCAAAGGGTATAGAAAAGCTGATTATAATACTTGACATAAAAAGTTGCCAATTTTATACGAATGTTATTTACAGATACGAAGATTTAGATTAATAGTTATCTTATCAAGTTGGATAAATATCAAGTATTTAAGAAGCAAGCTAGTTTTCTGGCCTTACTGGTCACTTATTATTAGGGTTACAGAAGGCACACAGAAATACTGTAAGGAAAAGAGAACATATCATCAACAGTCATCTATTTGACATTAAACATGTATATAACTCTATTTTGGTTGAATACAGAGTATTTTCAGGCATTACAAAGTTATTTATTAGTTCCTAGTTAGTTTAGTTTATATATGTTTGAATATGAACTGTATTATTGCAATTCTCATAATTAATAATGAAAAATGACAGAAAGAAGCTAATAGCAATCATCATAATATTCTAATAATAACCAAGTAGGGAATTATAAATCATCAGACCTATAATGAATAATGGTTAGATATGGAAAGCTGGTAGAAGAGTAGACTTAGAAGAGTATTACAGACATGACCTAATGGTTTTTTGAAGGCTTTGCCAGTCATATTCTCAACAAGGGAAAAAATTTAGTACAGACATTTTTAGTCAAAAAACTAGATGCAAGTATATGTAAACTGAATTTTAATAACCAAATATTCAAAATTTATTCAACATCTACATGTAAAATTATGTAAGATTTGAATTTGGAGCAAGTTTTCCTAGAAAAATACAATTAGTTGACAGACTGCTTAAAACGTAGCCTGAACCAGATTGAAGACGAATTGCATTTAATATTTACCTCTGCCTGCCTATTCAAGCCAAAGAGCAATATTTTCATACACAAGTTCAAGTTCTCTTAATTAGTGATATATCCAACATTTTTATAAAACTAAACATGAATAGCAAAATTTAAATAGTAAAAGATCTTGCCAAGTTCTGAGTGTGACAAAAAAAGAACATTTAACTAGTTTGCACCACAGTGTGTATATTTTGTAGCCATTTTCATGAGTTTAACATTTATCCATTTTGTACCATAGTATGTACATTATGTAGCAATTTTTGGAAGTCTATTGTACAATGAAACTATTTTTATACTTTTATACATCTGTTGACTGTGGTGTTTACTTGTATGATACAAAAACACATAAAATGTAAAGTGACCTATATGTCGGAGAGACTGACATGTTTTAGAGCTAATAAAAATAAAAAACAAAAAATATACATGTAAATAGCCTCGATGCAAGTAGAGTAGAAATAACCTTGATTTAGAATTACGTCATTCAAAATTCGCAGTTTAGTCAAAGTGATATCATCACTAGAATTTCTCAAAACAGGCAAAATTAATGGAAATCATAAAGGACCTTATACACCCTCCATTGGGATCTCCCCATGGGAAAAAAATAATTCATCTGATTTTTCAAAATGAGTATTCTGCTTCAATTATTACATTTATATGCACACTAGTATCTTGTTGACCTATATTCAGCACTGTATTGATGTATAGGCCACTTATTAGGGTCATAATTCAATCATGAAGTGTAGAGGCATAGATTCCAAACCAGAAAGTATTTTTGTGTCTGTCAAAATCCATTTACATCCTACGTATCCCTGCATCTTATCCAAATATGTTACTACATAATGAAATATAATAGTATAATCTTTGGTTTTACAAACTTGTATGATAATTGATAAGTGTAAAAGTTGTTTTGGAGCATTTTTCTATAGCCATTTTGTAGGGAAAAAATGATGAAAAAATGTACAATCTTTTAATTTTAAGTATGACCTGAATCGATTGCAAACTTCATATTTGCACATTTGATGAGATAAACCATTTGTGTCGTATTGTGAAATTATTAAGTTTGCAATCGATTCAGGTCATAGTGTATTTTTGGTATTTCTGTAATAATCAATGGAAACCAATGGCCTTTATTGGGATCTGCTGATATCCTCATGTTAAGTCAATGGTGCACAGCCCCATATAAGTCAATACAACCTTACTGAACGAAATGATCCCTATCTCAGCTTATGTGTGTCCGAGCACTTTAATATTTTCCAAAGTATTATATGACATTTTATTCTTCATGTTACACCTAAGAATGATTCATTTTGACCATAGGGATATTTGCCAATAATTGCACCTTGTCCTTTAACATGGTAAAATTGAAAAGTCCCTAAAAACAGGCGATTTTGTGAAACAATCAGTGAAAATTACCTGTTGCCAATGAAACCCCTGTATCATATTTGAAATCTACTGTGAAATAACATATGATGGTTTGAAAATTTGATTTTCTTGTAAAAAATAACTTCTAGATTGGGGAGATTTCCCACAGACCTCATATTATAAAATCACCACAAAAAGTGAAATATCTTTTCTTGCATAGAGCAGATATGTTTTTGTATAACTATCAGATACATAAGGGTAACTATATGGGAATCATAAATTGAGATTCAATGATTACCTGTTTTTATCAGTGTAACACAGACCTATGATATACGATAATTTAGAATAGTAAACTTGAATGATTCTCAGTTTTAAACACCCTTAACTGGCACTATCTCACAAGCTCATCAGAAAACTACTATACCAAATGCAAGCATAAGTCCAGAAATCCATTTCCAAAGTCATTTAAACAGGTGACAGGATCAGGAAATTTTGATCTAGAAAAGCTTGATCTTGAGAAAAATATAATTAAGTATGAACAATAATATTCATGCATTTGGTAAGTAAAGTACTTAAATTCCATTTTAATTAGGTGGGAAAATTTTAGGCACATAAATGGGACAGTTTTGAAACCAAAGGTCCACATTCAAAATTAAAAAATAATGCCCAGTAATGTTCATTATTTCTTCTGTTCTCAGTTTTTGTGGGAATACAAATTTTGAGCCCCAATTATAAGGGGGAAGGGCTGGCCCAATGTCCAGTACTTCTTTCAGCCATTTCTCCTGACTTGTGGTTTAAGGTGTATTTCAACAAAGAGAATACTTACATTTCACTGCTAAAACAGGTGAGCTAGTGCACTCATCACCGGCAAAGTCAGGCTCACTGCTACTGCTTACTCTACATGTCAGAGCAGCACCGTTATCTTCGGGGGTGACAGTGAATTTAACAGTTGCCATAGCAGGCTTATTCTCTTCAGTTGTGAAGACAACATCTTCCATTTCTTCCTGGTTGCGATACCATTTCAGAGTTGGCTTAGCATCACCTGCATAGTTCATCTGACATTCAAATGTAACCTCATCCCCTTCTTTGACATTATCACCATTGGTGTTACCACAAGATGGAGTATCTGCAAGAAATATTATATAAATATTACAAAACAATTCCTGGACCTGAACTTAAATATAGAGTTAACACTTTATTTACTATTGATTTATCGCAACACATCCTAGATTCGAAGTGTCAAACCTTAGTCTTATAATGAACAATATACACAGCAGTAGAACAATAAATAAATAGTACCAAGGGTACTGGACTCAAATGGTGAAAGTACATGTTTTGGCATTAAAAATGGCTGCCATTTTTAAATGAGGTGAGACGCTTCTGTATATAGTACAATGGAAGACTTTATATTTTAAAAGTATAAAACAATGAAAAATTTGATCATAGGTTCTTTCATTAGAATGAGATACAAAGCTTAACAAACTGATCACAATATAGCACCCAAAGGATGCAATAAAAATGGGTAATTAAAGATTGTTATTTAGACATGAACTACAGTGTATGTTATGATTACATGAACTTACCATAAACTGTCAGGTATGCAGCGTAGTTATTACCATCAGTAAAAGTCTGGCATCCATATTTTCCCGCATCACCAATAGTAACACCCTTTATCTTGATGTTATACTTCTTGTTCAAATCTACCTCATATTTGTCAGGGTCTATGATATCATTTGGTTTATTAGATACAAACACTCTTTTTCCATTACTATCAGTAATGTACTCAAACCAGGAAACAAATTCAGAGTCAATTGCAGCTTCAGCTATTTGGCACATGAGTTCAGTATCTTCTCCAGTCTTCGCTATCGTATCAGCTGGTGCAATATCTATATTGCCGGCACACACATAGCCAACTGAAAGTAATAATAATTCACATAATATGAGATATCTATGTTTGCAAACCTATATAATATGCAATGTTGATGTAGAAAAGTCAGTCTGACCAGTTGTTATATAGAAGAAAATGAGTGGCCGTGGGTTTGATCCCCATGCATGGGGATAGACTGACTTTCACATCAAATGATAGCATACAGACTTTTGCGAATGGTATAAGTATTAGACTGTATCCTTCGTCTGAATAAATATTCAGACTGTAAGTCACCTATTGTAAAATGTGGTGTTGTATAAATGTTACAAATAAGTTTGTTTAATGCTAAAATGATTACCTTATAAAGAACTCACAATATTATTTTTTCGTATATTGTCCTCTTACTGAAGATATTCATAAAATGTACAGACGCTTCTTGTAGCGAAGCCATTGATTTGGTCAAGCCATTTTGGCAATGCCAATTCTCACGATAAACGAGATTTAGCCAGTGACGTCAGTCTATTTGTAAACAAATAACACGTGGAGCGGGAGCAACATTACAGAAGCGTATTGCTAAATTCCATTTGTGCGGGAATTTATTAGATCTAGTCATTTATTATCATTATCCCAATTAATTTTCTTCATTTATAGTAAATAGAGCGGAAATATTCATGAAGAAGGCCGAGGTAATCAAGTGGTCATGTGTTGTCAAAGTTCAAAATTTGCATATCTCGTTTGGATCTCGTGAACTCAAACGTCCTTGACATTGATTTCGAGATCTACTTATGAACACATCCTGAAGTTTCGGTGAGTCTGAACATTTCATTATTTTATATCAACTTGTACCCGCCTTATACAAAAATATTTTTGCTTCTAGTTTAAGATGAACATCTCTTCAACATATTCACCAATTTTCAAGGTGAACATTCTTATAATAAATGAGAAATTAATGTGCAAAAAATATCACCGCGATTTCCACAGGAAATATATCAATCATAACAGACCGAATATTATATTCGGTCTGTTGGATACATACTAGTATAAGTATGGAGAAGTAGGGAACATTTGACATATTTATTAAATATACTTGATATGGTGATTTCCATTTTTAATTTCAGTTTTTTTTTAGAGATGACTGTTGAAATTAAGCTAAATTAAGCTTATAATATGACTTCTTCATCCACAAAAGGCTTTCCAATTATTTATACAAAGTAACAAAGTACCCATTGATGAGTGTCAAATCCCCAGGATGGGTGTTCGACCTTTACACCATTGAACACTCAAGAGCAATAGAGTATTTAGATAGAGTATTATATTTACGGCTGGGTCTCAATTTCAATTGCGGGAAAAGTAGACTTGTCTTTTAAAAACTGAGTCCGATATTTCTAAAAATTGGGTTTAACTTTCAAAAGTCATTTTTTGAACCCTCTCTTGTGAATTCTAGATATGATAAAATAAGTGAACTTGTGAATTCTAGATATGATAAAATAGATATGATAAAATAAGTGAACTTGTGAATTCTAGATATGATAAAATAGATATGCATGAGCGTAGCGCTATTTTTTAAGTAGCACGCCACCAACACAGGAACAAGAGTCAAGAATCAAAAAACGATCATTCAGGGGGGTCTGGGGGTTCTCCCCCATGAAAATTTTGAAATTTGGTTGTATTTTGAGCGAATTTGCAACGCTACGCCCATGATATGATAAAATAAGTGAACTTGTGAATTCTAGATATGATAAAATAGATATGATAAAATAAGTGAACTCGTGAATTCTAGATAGTGATAAAATAGATATGATAATATACAATCAAATTTTTTATTCTGTCAATCAGTTCATATGGTTAGAATAAGGAAAGAATGTGATGTAACCACGTGTCTACTTACCGGCTTGTTCTATGTCATCCATCGGACTAGGTTACATCGTGGAACGCAGCCGAACAGGACGCTGAAGGCAACCGCATATCTATCTTGATCTTAGCCGAATTTTTGGAAATTTAGATCGTCCATTTTGCAAGCTCACGTGACTGACACGTGACACATGTCTGATCACGTGACTAGTTACTGTATCGATCATGTGACTTAATCACGTGTCAATGACGTGTCACCCAATCATGTCTTCAAGGAAATCGGAAGTAAATATTTTTGAAAATGTTTTCCGAGCATTTGCTACTGATTATAGAAGGCCCAATTACGCAACGAACGAAACTGCTAAATTGTTTTCGTGCCTAACATGCGCAGTACGCAATGAAAGAAACTGCTAAATTGTATTTTTAGAGCTGTTTATTGATCTATTGATTCATAAAGACCTGTAATGATGCATTCAAATAAGACCGCCTCCTAAATGAAAACAGTACACATAAGGTGGTGAAAAAACAACGAACTAAAGTTGAAAGATCGGAACGTTCGCTACTTTGTTCAATTCCGGAAATCTCCAAGGGGCTGCAAATGGGAAATTATTTAGATTTAGATTTTATAACCTCAGAATACTGGCTTCATTGTCGTGTTTGGCTGCGTTCCACGATGTAACCTAGTCCGATGGATGACATAGAACAAGCTAGTAAGTAGACACGTGGTTACATCACATTCTTTCCTTATTCTAACCATATGAACTGATTGACAGAATAAAAAATTTGACTGTAGTAAGTGAACTTGGGGTTGCCAGAACATTTGAGCAAGTCAGAACATTTGGGCTTCCACATACGAGTGTTTACTAAATCCTGAAAGGTAAATTCATTAGATCTAGCCTGAAAATCTTATTTTCTAAATTTGATTGACGGAAAAACACATAAAATATTCAGTTACATGAACACAGCTAAGGAGAACATTGTAATATTCGAAGGTCACATTTATGGATAATCCACCGGCGATTTCGTTAGCTGTTTCAGATCAGTGATATAATCGGGAATATAATGCAGTTTGACATATTCTGGAATCACTCACCTGTTACAAAAAGTATCATTAGTTTAAAATCCATCTCGAATTTTGAAGTAAATCCCAATCAGTATGAAAATACACAAGATAAATGCAAACTCCGTTCGGGACGCCGGTTAAATTCACTAATATTACACACGGAGCAATATTGATTTGCAATCAACGATTGACGCGCCAAAAGCAACTATTCTGATTGGCTGCTTACAATAATTGTATTTTCACCTTTGATAAACTGATACAAAATTATAATCACGTGTCAATAATGATATCTGCTAAGTCTAATTCCTAAAGGGTCTAAACCGGGGGGCTAATAAGACCATTTGAAGACATATAATCAAACAGTAACAAGGTGCAGAGAGGACCCCTGTGATGCCATAAGCTACTGTATGTTACTTGTTCTGTTGAAAGCCAATGGTCAAAATTATTATCAAAAACTTGTGTGGGGTGACTATGTATTGGACAATGGTCTGATATTTAAAAAAAGACCTTTATTGTAATTCATCAGGAAGAAGAGTTGTTAAATGTGGTGAAATAAAATAAGTCATACGCATATCTAACCCTCTTAAAGAGGGACATTGGGTATAAATAGGAAGCAGACTAATGGAACAGCCAAAATAATTGGATTTTTGATATTTTGACAAAGCTGGTCAATTTTCTCAAATTTCATATTAAATGAGAAAATGTTTTGCTCTCAAATTTGCTATGTACATATTTCAATGTTTTGATGTTCATATTCTGCAGTTAGATTTTAACTTCATCATTTTGTTGGGTTGTGATAAGACATTTAAAAACAGAAATAACATTTTTCATATTTAAAAGTCCTCAAGCTTAGCCTATCAAAATCTAGTATTAAGCAATGCTGTTAATTAAACTTACTAATCCTGACTGTCTGTTCCATGTTAAAGTGTGGATGTAACCTGATATTTTAATGGGAGTTGCTAGCAACTTTAAAACCGGTATTTTATATTAGGCCGATTTGAACTAGTTATTTAATAATTTGATGTTCAATTCTGCCCTATACTAATATTGATTTACTAAAAACAGATCAGCATAATTCAACTAACAATTTTATAAATATATTATTCTCTTACAATCTTTTTCCTTTGATATTCAAACCGACCCGTGTCACATCTCACTCGGCTACATTAATTGACAATATTTTCACCAATATTCCAAACATAGCTCTTTCTGGTATCATCATTGATTGTACAACAGACCACTTACCAATTTTTGCAATGACTGAAAAAACGCTTAAGACAACAACAAACAAACAGATCAAATATAGATCAATTAATGATAACTCATTAATGGAGTTTAACAATAAAATGACCAATGTTGAGTGGCAAGACCTTTATAATTGCCATGACCCTAACATAGCATATTCTACCTTTTCTAACATAATACAACACGAATATGATAAGGCATTTCCAGTAAAAGTTAAAAAGGTTAGAACAATCGGAAATAATGGTAAGCCATGGCTGTCCAGCGCAATCATCACCTCATGTAGAAATAAAAATAAACTTTATACAATTTATTTAAAAAGCCCAACACCAGATAATTTACAAAAGTATAAGAAATACAAAAATAGCTTAAAACACATCTTAAGAATAGCTGAAAAAAGATTTTATCAAATGAAATTTACTGAAGCCTCGTCTAATATCAGAAAAACGTGGGAAATCTTAAATGAAATACTTAAAAGGAAAAGAATAAATTACAAACCATTGCCTTCTACATTCTATACAAATGGCAAAGCTTTTAAAGGTAATAAGGAAATTGCTAATGGATTCAATTCATTTTTCTCTAATGTTGGTAAAGATACTGCAGCAAGTATAGGGCCCTCAAACAGTACTCCCCGGGAGTTTTTAAGTAAAATGCCAGAAGTAGCTAGTTCTATCTTCCTTCAACCTGTAAATAATGAAGAAATCTTAAAAATAATTTCTTCATTGACAGATTCTGCTGCCGGCTCAGATAATATCAAGCCAAAAGTAATTAAATTAAACAGTCATCTGATAAGCTCACCACTTGCTTATATTATCAATCTGTCATTTATGCAGGGTATATTTCCAGATGATTTAAAATTTGCAAAAGTCATTCCTATTCATAAAAAAGATCGCAATGACATATTTACACATTACCGACCTGTATCTCTTCTGTCTGTATTCTCTAAAATTTATGAAAAATGTAAGTCTCACAGGTTGCTTGATTTCTTAGAGAAACAAAACATCTTATACGAACATCAGTATGGTTTTAAGAAAGATCACTCAACATTCATGGCTGTTTTAAAATTTGTTGAATCAGTACGCCTTGCCTTAGAAGATCACAAATATTCCATAGGATTAATGTGTGACCTGTCTAAAGCTTTTGATTCATTAAATCACAATATATTGATGCAAAAATTATTATGGTATTCGGGGAACTGCCTCCGATTGGTTTCAAAGTTATCTTTCAAAAAGATCCCAGGTGGTACAATTTGAAGGGGAAACATCTGATATTGTTGAATTATCATGTGGTGTTCCACAAGGAACAATTCTAGGGCCTCTTTTGTTTATTATTTATATAAATGACCTTTACAGATCTTCAGAGGCTGCAGAAATGTTTCTATATGCAGACGATACAAATATACTATTTTCTGGTAACAATCTTGATGACCTCAATACCACAGTAAATGAGGAACTTTCTGTAATTAATGAATGGTTTAAGTGCAACAAACTCGCATTGAATCCAACAAAAACAAATTATATCTTATTCAGGTCTCCAAAAAAGTAATTGAACATGAAAAAATAAAAATCTACATGAATAACTCACTTTTAGATAGAACTATAGTTGGAAACTTTCTTGGCGTACTTCAAAAGAGCCAATATCCTGAATGTATTTCAAATAGTGTACATGAATATTGCTGTTTATGTTTTTAAATGCATTAAAGGTGTAAACAAACCCTGTAAGAGGCAATTCAAATATTATTTTACTACTAGTAATGAAATTCATGATCATTCCACAATACAAGAATATAAACTTCGGCCAGCAAAGTATAGAACTGATATTGGAAAATTCTCGATATGTAAACAAGGCACTGATATATGGAATGATGTACCTGGAGATTTACTTCGAATCAATTCTGTATCACACTTTAAGACAAAACTGAAGCAATATTTAATAAATCATAAACCATTGGTCTAAATGGAAGAACAAGGAAATAACAATAACAAATCAGTAAATTCAATAGTGCATCTTTCCTTCAACATTATCATATCAAAGCAAAAGTTATGATTAAATGCATAACTAAACATTCAGTGTTGAAGATGACCACAAAATTAACATATATCAATAAACATGACCTTAAACTGACCCATACTATTCAGTTTATCCTGAGACACATTTCTGGCACTCGATCAACTGTTCTTTTTCTAAAGGCATCGTACGTGGTTGTGGGGGGGGGACTGAGGTGGAGATGGGGTTCAGTGGTGTGTAGACATTTTGTAATTTTTTTTTTCATTATTTTACGTTGTAATATGTATAATACTCCCATTAGGGGGTCTTCCATCTTATTTGATGTATATGATTTTATTATAAACTGAAATAAAACACAATAACAATAACAATAAAATACTGATATCCCATGACTATGCAATGATGGATTCATGACATCACATTATGTTTATGATCAAATGATGTCAAAATCTTGATCAGTTAAAAAGTTAAGATTCAAGACTAAGCTTTTCTGACAGGAATAGAAAAAATGAATCATAAATGGGGCTGAGCGATATCAGACTGTGTAATGCCACAGTATTCATTGTTTACATTGTTCGTGATACGTGTCAATGAATGTATTAAACCACACATGACAAAAGTATTTCCCGTTAAATCACCTATCATTCGAAAAATGGAAATGGAATCATGGAAAGATGTTACTTGTCTGGAGTCTTGAAAAGAAGAATAGTCCAGGAAAGATCATGAAACAAAATATTTTGCTTTACTATTTTTTTTTTTACATTTCGCTCCATCATTTAGGGCAAGCAACTGCGTACCTTTGTGTATGCCTGGGTTACGTGCCTGCAAATACATGTAGTTAAAGTCTTTGTACAATACTCTGTCCAACTCTTGCTGAATTTCACTATACGTATTAAATGGCCTTTCATTCCTAATTAGACTCACTGGCGGAAATCTTTTCCTGACTTCAAATGTTGGGCCGTCCAGTTAGATTTTGGATTCGCCAGGGCAAAGAACATATTACAGTATTGCGTATCGTTTCTACAAAGGTGACAAATCGATCAAGGTGGTTTTTATAGTTATACAGGTGGGTTGTAATCAACCAATCAGATAAGCCGTACCTTTAATTTGTGATACATATTAGATTTTGAAATAAGTCATATAACTCCACCAGGAAATAGTACTTTTGCATTCAGCAAATTTCTAATAATGGATTTCAAAATATTGTTTTTCTCTGTGTTGATATCTGTTGTTGGTAAGTAAAAGTTTCTCTAAGAAAGATCGTTCTTCGATCATGCGTTCGATCATAACTGCATGAATGAAAAATTGCCACTCCTACTAGGTCGTACCTCAAGTACTAAACTTCAATATTCTCGTAATAAAATCTCAAACTAAGCAATCAAGTATGTAAATGTACTCTCTCATTGGTTTCAGAACATATGTGCACCTAAACATTGCCCATGACCTAAACAAGTTTTGACTCGGTGTGCATGGAAATTTATTTTGATAAGATTTCTATGAAAATTCAAAGAAACTGTTTTTCCATTAGAAAATAATTAAACGCTCAGATTGCACCAAATAACACCCGATTGATCAAATTTTTTTATATTAGGGCATACCCCAGTTCACTAAAAGTGTATGAATAATGAATTAATTGATGGTGTTGAGAGAAGCTCCCAGAGAAGTTGTTACTAGCATCCCTGGGAAGATTCCCTGAATCGTTAAAAAATACTGCTTGTCCTTTTAATATTAAATGTGCAATCATTACTATTAGGCTAAAAAATTATATATTTTCAGGTGCCCAACTTGAGGAAGAACCACAAACAACTGCAGTAAGAGTTGGAAGTTCAGTTACATTCCTTTGCACCCTAACTGCTGATCAGGTGGCTCAAGGATGGACCATCACATGGAAGGAAGGGGAGGAGTTCATTTATGTTGGTAGCACTGGGGTTAATTCTAACCCAACCAAATATACCATTTCAGGAAACGCCAATCTTCAGATCAAGGAAGTCACAACAGAGGATGCTGGTCTTTACCAATGTCGAGTTTATCCAAAGGGAGGCACCGCACCCTTTGACAGAACAGCAAAACTAATTGTCATAGGTAATTTATTGATTTGGAATATTTTTATTCACTTCAGTTTTTGTTTTGAAGAAATTCAAGTATTACAAAAGGTACACAGACCATTGGATTGTCATTGATAGGTTATTGGTGTCTTTTGACTAAGAATATATAAGGAGCACCACAACTTCACCTGTTAAAGTTTGACAATTGATAAGTATAGAATTTTAAAACCACATCTCTATATGTAATTTTACAGGTAGCTTTCAAATATGACATAACATCACTTTAACAAATATTTGATGAAAATCAAGATGACTTCTACTTGCATCCAGTCTTGTTTTAAAGGTTACACTTTCAATTTAGCTCTGTTAAAAGATGGCTTTCAAATATTCAAAAGAATTACACCCTGTAAGTCCAGTACCGATGGTACTATTTTTAGTTTTAGTTTTGTACAGATTTGGAACCATTTTTGCTATAATCTGATGGGATTATTTCATGTGATGATACAGTTTCACTTTTGGGATATCTATGTCTCATGGTAAAACTATAAATGTCTTTCAAGAGCTTGTATATGTACCATTCAAAAATTGTTTTCTTCACTTGTTTTTCTGGGATGTAGAAGTTTTAAATCTTGGGATTCTGGGCTTAATCCTAGACTGCACTTAAGGCCATTATGTAGCCCACACAAGGCATTTAGACATGACTATTTCCTTTAAGGCAAGATGGACTGCCCAAATAACAATGGGCTGATGGTAGAACAAGGCAAGGGAGAAGTGACTTGCATGGCACAGATATCCCCGGATGATCAAGATTTTGAACTGAAGTGGTACAATAAAGGTGGTACAGAGCTACCCTGTAACAAGTCCATGAATGGGTTAATGAAAAGCTGTAAGGCACACTTTGTCACCATGTGGAATGATGTTAGTATGTTCTGTAGGCTTGAAATTGATGTTGGTGGTGTGGAAGTGAAAGAAGAGTGTGAAACTTCACCACCCTTTGTCATTAATTGTAAGTATCATACGAGTACTTTATGTCAATGTATTGTATTTTGGTGGATATTTATGTAAATTGTATACTGTAGACGTGGAAAATTACGCGAGTTCAAAATTATGCGTTCATCTTTTAAATTTCGAGCATTTTTATATACACGCTACAGTGCTCTCCCCAGGATTTTTTTGTAGGGAGGATTTTGTAAAAAAAAATTGCAACATTTTGGGATTTTGTTATTCTGAAAGTGCAACATTTTAATATTTTTTACTCCTAAAGTGCAACATTTTATTTGTGTCTGGGGGCCCACACCCCCCCCCCCCCCCCTTGGGTGGGCCCACCAGCCAAAAAGCCCAAAAAGTGGGCCTTTTTGAGCATTACTTGCCTTGTTTTTTAATTTTAGGCCAAATTTTGAAGCAAATGGGCCTTAAATTTTCAAAACTTGGGCCCACTTTTTGGTTTTAACCCCTCGTTGGTTCCTAGATCCACCCCTGTATACGTACTGATTATGCCTGTTTATCAAATATTTGAAAAAAGTAATCTAAGTTTATATTTTTGTTAATAAACTTTTAAAATTTAAATTTGCCGCTTCGTCCATTCAGCAAAAAAGCATATTTTTTGTTGAAATTTAACAGGGCCATTTTTAGTTAATCGGGCGACCGGATTCACTTAAAAAGTACTTACGCTCGATTGTGTTGTGCCAGACAACTTGCCAGCGGTGTGCTTCTGACATTCTTCTGATAAAATCAAGTAAATATATCGAAATAAGGAGAAAAGTTATTGTAAGTCTGGGAGAAAAATAGAGGAGTGAATGCGAACGGCACAAATTTGTGTTCGGTCGTTTGAAATAGCGAACAATTCATTTTCTTCCGTGTTAATCTGTCATTGAACCAAATAAATGTACGTTCGATAAAGTTCTGCATATACGGACGACGTGAATTTACGATCGGTCAACTAAAATAGCGAACGTTCGCTTTTCTTCCATGTAAATCTGTAATTGAAGCAAAGAAATATACGTTCGATAAAACACTGCATAAGTGAAAATTTAAAAACAAACAAAACTTCAACTTTTCGGTAAGATTGTGTTATTTTAAATCTTTTGAGGCGGAGAAACAATGTGTAGGGTTTGTCAGTGGCGCAAGGAATAACCCTGAGGCGCATTTATTTGATTGCAATTGCTTGGAGGCGCGGCGCCTCAGTAAGTTCAATGTAGGGAGAGCACAGCGCTATGTGATACAATAAGCATGGCACACTGTCTAATGACACTTTTGGTAGAAGGCGGCCATTTTTTAAAATGGCCGTTTTAATGTTTTTTACTATAACTCCAATAGTAGTGGAGCGATTTTGTTCATATTTGGTATGTGAATACTATAAGCATGGCACACTGTCCAATGACACGTTTTGTAGAAAGTTGCCATTTTGAAAATGGCTGCCATTTTTGCTATACACTTTGTTTGTAAATATGCCAGCCATTGTTGTTCGATGTTGGTGTTGCTTATGTTGTCTAGTTTCACCTTGTGTTTCATGCGTTTATTCTTTGATACTAGACTAGTTTGTCTATCTAATAAAGATCAGTATCGGCGTCAATACATTGCATACTCATTATTGAACTTCGAAACTTGGCACAATATTTCTACAGAAATTGATGTTTTATCTGCTATATAGGCAACAAAACTTGTGTAATATAATTAAGACAATTTTCAATTGAGATGATTATATACGCAGCGCACACTATACCCCCCCCCCCCCCTCCCGGGTATTGAAATGCCATGAAGTTAAAAACCACATTTCCCATGTTATTTTCCCATAGGGAAAACTCATGCTATCCATTGTTTTCAGCATGATTTTGGTCATCAAAAATTGATATCTTCAAAACTAGACTTTCAATACCTACTTTTGAGGCCTTGTTCAATAATGTTTTCATGCAATAAAAATTAGCCTTGCCCAAGTCGGTATTTTTTACTTATCTGAGAAAAAGAAGATCCTCTTTTGAGCAAATAAGTTCCAACATTTTGAAAAAATTGTTGACCTGGGCTCCCTATTTATAATTTTTTGAATTGTTCGATTGATATTTTTATCATCATGGGGACTTCACTTGAAAGAAAACATATTGTTTTAATACAAACCACTGCAGTATTTATGCCCAGAAAGTATTCATGGTGACAGATATGACCGTCTAAAATCACTTGCCATACTGCACATGGACCTTTAAACACCGCATATTTTGTCATGTCTACAATATTGTGTAGATTTAAGTATATCAGCATTGCTATACAGTAACTAGATAATCTAATCCAAGGAGGAGTTTTTTATACAGAACTACTGCTCAAGAATATACTGAATTGTGAATGCGTTGGAAAATAAAGTGAATGGAATAGGGCAGTAGTACAGTAATTTGTTTTAATGGTTTTAGATGCAATTAAACAATTAAAGATTATGCCATTTGACATGTCTGGTGGCCAAAAGACAGAATTCTATAGTGGAGAAATCCTCAACTGCTCTGCAATGGGATACCCTGAACCCACTTACATCTGGGAGGAATTGAACATTGAGACAGAGGAATCAATGGGTATGTAGCTATGAATTGTTAATTGTGTAGACTTGCCACTCAGAAATATTTTAGAAAGGATGATTAAATAATGAACCATGTCAACAGTGAACTTGTCTAAATAAAACATTTCACCTTTGTCATTACTTAATTTCATTACCTTGGTCTAATTTTTTAATGTCATATCATTATTGTACAATCATATCATTGGTATAGCAGTGTTTTCAGGTTATGAGTATTCATAGTATGTGCAGAACATACAGTTCAGTTTCATTTTCAGGGGATAGAAACGCGTTCAGTATTTTCATTGTACAACTGGAAATACTGGACACAGTATTTTCATTGTACAACTGGAAATACTGGACGCAGATCTCCATTTTTGATCCAGAGAGAGGTAATTGTAATTTTACTCGGTAACCTGTGATCGTCTTACAGTGTGTAAAACAGGCTCATCAGATTCATTCAGTACATTGGGGAACATCCAATTCTTATACAATGACAGCTACATAGTTTTTCTGTAATGTGGGGTTAAGCACAGAAATATTTTGATTTTTTTTCAGGAAATATACGAATTGAGTTCTTACCATTTCATTGACAAGATATGTAATTTTGTTGTGTATGAACTAACAATACAGCCTCCTATCTGCAAAGGATGAGTCAGGGAATGGGTCAGGGTTTGGACTTTGAAAAAATTCTAAAAAATAAAAAATAAAAATCCATAAAACTGCTCTATGTTTAAAACAAAACTAAAGTGAAATTGTAGTAATTTAAATGGTGGCCATCTTGGATTTGCCTCATCATGACAAGACACTTTTCATGTGCACTATGATCAAAAAGCTTGCATTTGAGCAGTATAGGACAGTAAATGGTAAATCGATACTTTGGAAACCTTATAGAGCACTATCAAGGAATCTTCTGTATTTGTCATAAATTTACTGTTATGAAGACTGTTAAGTGTTATGACTTCTACTGTTATGATGACTGTTTACTGTCATGACTTGTACTGTTATGATGACTGTTAGCTTTCATGAAGACTACTGTCAGCTGTTATGATGACTTGTAACTGTTATGACTTTTTACTGTTATGATGACTGTATGACTTTTTACTGTCGACTATTAACTGTTATGACTGTTTACTGTTATGTTGACTGTTAAGTGTTAACCAACCCTTACGCTATATCAGCTTAAGTAGAAAATTACATTACCATTTATAGCAGGATGGCAAGTACCATCTTTTAGGCCCACCAATATGCCCAGAGTCTGTGTGCATGTATACATTATCACAGCACTCTGGAAGTGTGAAATATCATTTCTGAGTGGAGCATGGCAGTGACCGCCATCTGGAGCCTATCACTGACTAATACTGTACATGTCCCCAGGGTGCCATGGTTTTTGGATGCCCATGTTGCACCAGTCACCTGATTGATGGGATATGCTTGTAAAAGAGGAGCCATCCCAAGAATCATATATATGATGCCAGAGACATGCCACCTCCTCTTCAGAGTCAGAAACTGAAGATGACTGATATTTGTGGGAACTTTCAATGACAGTATAGTATCTCAATAACTATCACAACAAATCCTACTCAAATGTTACTCAATTTTTATCAACCATTTTTGGCAATGCAGTTTGGTAAAGGAGTCTGCATAAACTATCTGACTGAATAATATACTTGAAACTTGACCTTAATTGTTTATGCTCTGAAAATGATTATTACCTAATTTGATTCATAGCAAGAGGTTAAATAAGCATCAATACTCACTAAAAGATGCATATTAAAATCAAATACATCTTAGACAGTAATAAAATCTATATTTCAAATACATTTAAGTGAGGGACCAAAAGGTATTCCCTGACTCATCCTTTTAGCTTAAAAGTGATCGATAAAAGAAAAATGACGAAATTTTAGAAATACTGGATGAAATGAAAAATGTACTGGACACAAGCCTGTTAATAGCGGATGGCTAATTGCGTCCAGTACAATTTCATTTCTCCCAGTACTTCTTTAAATTTCATAATTTTTCTATTTTTGATAATTTTGAAGTTAAAATTTGGCGACTGGAAGCTGTATTCTTATTCCATACACAAGAAAATTGCCAATCTTGTCAATGAAATGGTAAATAAAAAGAAATCTACTCTCATTTTATTATGTCACCACCAAAAAGTGACCTTTCCGTTATGGTTTTGTTATTTTTTTGAAGGCAGATGGTGGTTGGCGATCTGGTGACATATTGTTATGGTCTCCGTTTTTTTGACGGTGGATGGCGGTTGGCGACCGGCGGTTGGCAATCAGCGTCTGTAACGAATTCTTACAACTTCCAATAAGTTAGCAAATACTGTTAAGACTGACTTCAATTTTTTTCAAATCTGACTTTATATTTAAGATTTGACCTTTAATGACCTTTTCAAGTCTTTTTTCAACTTGCTTCAAATTGACCAATTCTTTTTTTCAAATCATCTACAAGTTATCAGAAGTTCAAATCTGACTTTAGATTTGAGATTTGACCTTCAATGACCTTCTAAAGGTCAAAAAAGGTCAAAAAGAACTTTTTTCAACGTGCTTCAAAATGACCAATTCTTTTTTTCAAAGTCATTTACAAGTTATCAGAAGTTCAAATCTGACTTAAGATTTGTGATTTGATCTTCTCAAGGTCAAAAAGGTCTTTTTTCAACTTGCTTCAAATTGACCAATTTCTTTTTTCAAAATCATCTACAAGTTATCAGAAGTTCAAATCTGACTTTAGATTTGACCTCCAGTGACCTTCCCAAGGTCAAAAAGGTCTTTTTTCAACTTGCTTCAAATTGACCAATCTTTTTTACAAAATCATCTACAAGTTATCAACACGTCTCAAAAAAGGTAAAAAAGGTCTTTTTTCAACTTGCTCCAAATTGACCAATTTCTTTTTTCAAAATCATCTACAAGTTATCAGAAGTTCAAATCTGACTTTCGATTTGACCTCCAATGACCTTCCCAAGGTCAAAAAGGTATTTTTTCAACTATTGACTAATCTTTTTTACAAAATCATCTACAAGTTCTCAACAGTTCAAATCTGATTATAGATTTGACCTTCAATGGCATTCTCAGTCAAAGGTATTTTTCATCTTGCTTCAAATTGACCAATCTTTTTTTTCCAAATCATCTACAAGTTCTCGGAAGTTCAAATCTGACTTTAGATTTGAGATTCCCCCTTCAATGACCTTCTCAGGGTCAAAAAAGGTATTTTTACAACTTGCTTCAAATTGACGTTTATTTATTCAAAATCATCTACAAGTTCTAAGAAATTCAAATCTGTCTAAGATTGGGGAACTCATATAATATTGTGAGCAACGCGGTGACATTTTGTCATGTTAATGCCTTGTAAGAATTGTGTGTTCCTCAATGTCCTGGGAATCTGATGAGCCTGTTTCTAGATAAGGAAACACTGTAAAACGATCACAGGCTACTGAGCAAAATCACACTACCTCTCTCTGGATCAAAAATGGAGGTCTGCGTCCAGTATCTCGGTTTGTACCAGAGGAAAATACTGGACTCATTTCTATACCCCCTGACTTTGTTTTATTCTGAAATGAATACATGTAATATATGTGTTTGTCAATTCTCAATGTATGGCATTAACATTATAAATTTACAGGACAAGTAAGCACTGAAGCTTCTCTTCCATTAAATGGTATGTCAGGAGACAAAAAATTCCGATGTACGGTCAGCAACTCATTTGGAGAAGAGTTCAAAGACACTCCCAGAATAACTGTACTGAAAGGAACAGGTATGATTTGAGTATAAAGCAATATATTAGTGAGTGGAAATGGGACACAATATGGGCATGTTTGTGCATTTATAGTTTCTTAAGATTCTTATGTATTCTGAAAAAGACTAAATCCAATGAACACATTTCAATTTTTCTTTATGGGAATGAATACTGTACTCCCAGTAATTTTCACATGCTGTTATATTTCGCACTTTCCGCTATTTTGGGAATATTCTTGATATATAATAGCCACGAAATTCCAAGAGTTTAAATTCACAAAACATTGTATTCGCAAAATTTCCGGGAATTCATTTCACTCAGTGTTGACTGTATTTCTATCTATTGAGGGGCGATAAAAGGTTAGGTACCTTTTCAATTCATTCTATTCGACATTTCAATCAAAATACACTTCCTAACAAACTGACATCAGATTAAACCAAAAGGTTGATTTTCGAAAAGTTACAGATCCACAAAAAATTTATATAGCCACAAAGTTTTGAAGAAAGGAAAAGTATCAAAAATTAATAGCTACAAAATCACAAAATTTAATGGCATCAAATATTAGTTGGAGTACAGTGCATCACCTCAATAGTTCTGTACCAATAATATTACTAGGACTAACATTTTAAAGTGCATTTTTTCTTGGAACAAATGTTTGAATTTGCAGCTTGATTTCTAGCTTATTGTTTAACAGATTTTGCTTGAAATATAAGATACCTTATACTGTTTACATGCAATGGAGTCAGAAGACAGAAACTGATATGTACATTCGCCAGATAAATGCAAAGATTGGAACAAGACTCATAAAAATAGCAAATAGATTTGTGCATTTATATTATACCATAACATATCACCCCATGCAGACAGATTGCGTAAAATTACATTCGTATGATGCGATACTCCGCATTGACCAGGAAACTTGAAATAATTTGTCACCCATGGAGCAGATTAATTTTAAATGCTTAATAAATGGTGAATGATAGCATGACGTCTTGATATTTCAAGGTTACTCGTTTGAAAAGTTTAAAACGGCAATGCAATATTTGTACATTTCTTTAAAAAACTAAAAAATACATCACATGTCAAATTTTCCGAAACAGAAAAAAACATGTATAAATAGTAAGGGCTGCAGGTTCGATTCCCCCTGGTAGCATTAACATTGGTCTCGTATATGTTATACAATTAATATTTGAAATGCAACTTTAATTCAAACTTATGATCGGACATTAGTATGATATTACTTTATAACCTTTAAGTCCACATCATACTTACTAGTATGTCTGATCAAAAGTTTGAATCATAGTTGTGTTTCAAATATTAATTGTGTGACATGCAAGAGACCAATGTTAATGCTACCAGGGGGAATCAGACCTGCAGGTTTTACTATTTATACATGTTTTTTTCTGTTTAAAAAAATTCGATATGAGGTTTTTATTTCTTAGTCTACAAATCTACAAATATTTCGTTGCGGTTTTATCTTAACATCGTAATTTCAATTACTGCCATCACTATTCAAACGAGTTACTTTGAAATATCAAGACATCGTGCTATTCTCATACTCATACTCAATGTGACTGTCATTCACCATTTATTAAGCAGTAAAAAATAAATTTGCTTCATGGGTGGCAAAATGTTTCTGTTTCCTGGAGAATGTTGAGTCTTGCATCATACAAATGTAATTTTAGGTGATCTGTCTGCATGGGGTGAACATTGCTGTATGATCTGTTAGTTCAAATGAAACTCCCTAATTTATATTCATAGCAGTGTCAAGATTGTTTCAGGCGTATTTCAAATATTCTTTTTTTATTTTTCAGGAACAGGTGAGGTGGGAGATAATGCTGGGATGCACGTCACCGTCTCTCTTGCAGTCATCTTAATGACATCACTCATCAGCCTTAGTTTTGCCACAACCCATTAGCAAAATACACATGGATACTTCACCTATGCGGCAACTGTCCCATGCCCAAATAAGGGACTGTGTCACTTGTTGTGGATGGTGGTAACTCCATGTGCGGGGAACCATATTTAATTCTCAGAAATTATTCAATATTTTTTCGAATTACTTTTCTTTTAAGGGAGGTCTACAGTTGCAAATAAGAAAAATCATGACAAATATGCTATATTTTAAGCAACTGGTCAGGATTGTGAAAATAAGTGTTTTGCCATTCTAATATTCATCTCATCTTTCTGTACAACAATCAACATGCTCTAACTGATGGAGCCCCATTGCAGGCTGTACCTCCCCATGAAACTCATAATCAGTTTATTTATGTAATTGGCCCTCAACATTTTCAGCAAAACTGTATTGATCAAAAGTGTGCACAAACTAATCCATGTCTTTGTAGAAAGGAAATGCTGAGTTTATCACCAATTTGTACAAACTATTGGGGGTGGGGGGGCAGTTTGGTGTTGCCTTGTTGTTGGGAGAAGTTTTTATATAACATTTTATACAACCTAACAACAAGCTTGTTGCCTTGGCAACACCCTTTTACATTTGTACAGCTGAAAATCAATGTTTATAGTTTGTATGATGTTTATATTTTTATTTTATTACTTTTTAGTGGATAATACCATTTAGTTTTCTAAAACCATGACTCTAAAACTACATTTGATATTATACAAATATATCATTCACTCTCTTGAATGAAATACTGATAAATACATTTATACTTTTATGAATTTTTACTTTAACTTCTCTGATTATTACAGTATGTGATGTTGTAACAACTAGTGATTGGGTAATTTAGACCAGTGTTTCTTGGAAATATTTTGTAAGAAGTTCAATTCAGACTTCGCAAATATTGTGTTGTACCAAGGAGGCCTGGCTCCCATGGTTCCTTGCTAATTCTCTAGTGAACATGTTGACTGGTCAGTTCTGAGACACCCCTCTATAGGATTAGCCAATCAACAGGGTTAGATTTATATCATGGTGGCTTTCACATGATAGCAAGCATATGCAGCAATGTTTTGATTTCTTTGTCATGATTACAAAATTCAAAATTAAACTGACCCCATTTTAGAATTTAAATAATGAGTTCCTAATTACTTAATAAATATCTTAAAACAGCCAAGATGTGATTAAAGCAATATAGCCGACTGTGTTCAATTGGATTACTTTGAATTCATATCGTCATCTTTTAAGACATTCAACCACACTTAGGTTCTCAATTTGTATGCACTGAAGAAACTATCACTCAAGGATTGGGAAGGAATCTTAGTTGCCAATTCTTTGGTTTTGAACACTTTTGACCATATTAGGTACAGTGCATTGTAATAACAATTGAAATGGAGCCATTATAATTATGTATAATTATGTATCTAAGAATCTTTCCTCTGATTATCTACACTCCCCATTTATTCATTTGTTTTTATAATCAGTACTAAAATCAACTTTGATTTTGAGAGATATGCTCTTGACTGCCTTGTGTCACATTTTGCAATGCTATATGTATTATGTGTTCATCATGCTCATGACATTCAAGCTACATTTACATGTATACCATATCTTTATTCCTTGTATATTCCCTAACCTTATGTCTGATGTACATATTTTTATTATCCATGACTGTTCGAAAAACTGCTTCTGAAACCATACATTAGATGCATTTTCATAAGATATTATATTTTAACATATTTGTTTAATATACACTGCTATAACATTCCAGAATCAATAAACATTCATAACTTATCAGGTTACACTTCTGTGTAGTCTATGTTATATCATAAAATATATATTATAGATAGATAGATAAATAGAGGATATCCTATGATTTTTGAGGGATACCATTTTTATCCATGAGTGAATATCGCTCATCTCCACGAGTGAGCGCAGCGAATGAGTGGAGATCGGCGATATCCAAGAGTGGATAAAAATGATAGCCGAGAAAATCATAGGATATCATATTTATCCGATGGTCGCTATTTTTGTATGGACTTCAAATAATTCGACCTAAAGTTGTTGATTTCTAATTCTATTCTATTTTTTCATTTTATTCTCTGTGACCTTATTTTTATAAAATGATTGCATGAAAAAATGTTCCTCATTTTCACTGAGCATATAACCTTGGAACTTTCCAAATATTTTTTCCAAATTTTTTTTCATTTTTTTTTATTCCTGTAATTCTATTTTCAAATTTTTTAAATTTTTTCTTCAATTTTTTCAAAACTTCAATTTTTTCAAAATATTTCTAAAAATAGTATCCATCGGATACGATTGGATATCACGTTGTATGGATCGGATACGATTTTAGTGGCGTATACAAAAATTATCTTGTGTTGGTATCCCCATATATATTTAGTATCCATCGGATAAATAGATTTATCCAGGTTAATGATTATTTCATTTGAGATCTGTACTGTGTACAATTTGAATTTGGGTGTAAATGGCTTGTATGTGTATAATGTGTATATAAAGAAATACATCTTCATGGACTCCTGAATATATGTTTTATATATGATGTAATAATTGTAAATGCTACTTTAAGCTAACTTTTTGAAAGAATTATGCAGTTATAATCCTGCTTTTAGTGCAATTAAAAAGGCCCCACTTATGCCATAAACAGAGTGGTCCAAATTGAATAAATCAGGTAGATTTGGACCAAATTGTATTGTGGTTTAGTATACAATTGCTTGTATGTACTAGGTGTGATTAATTGTAAATAGAGTTTTAATAGATGTTTATTATAATATACTTTACATGTATGTGCTTGGTTTGGTGTTGAGGATCTTGAAAGTGATTGTAAAAATACTACATACTGTATGTAGTTGTGTGCATGGCCTACAGTGTATGTTTTGATTAGTGTTTACAAATATTTGGAAACTGAATTTATTGAAAAACAATTTCTGCCAGGAGGTTCAAAATCACTTCAAATTAACAATCAATGTTTCAACCGTTTAATATTGAACTTAAATACAGTAAAACTAAGAACACCAACTAAATTGTCAGATACACCTAGGTTAGGTTCACTGATATTGTGACATAAAGAACAGTCCATCAATCTTGTGATTCAAGGGATTGAAGAAATACTCTAATAAATGTATATTATGATATTATAAACGTATATTATGATATAATAAACGTATATTATTATGATATAATAAAGTGCCAGGTCAGGTCATCATAATCTTTCTTATCAAAACACCAGCCATTGTACAAGAAAAACAGGAATTCTCAATAACATAGAATTTTACATAAATAGATTATTGGAATGAATTGTTATTCATGGAACAATGAAGTTGTCAATGATGTAAATTATGAAGTATTAGGTTTAGGGTGTGATACTGATAGCTTATATTTTATATATCAATCAGTTTAAGGTGTAATTTTATGTATTTCAAGGAAAATGATTATTATATTTGTTCAGAATAAAATCTAATTTTTATAGAATAGCATTGACACATTTGTTAATTTTTACGTTTCTTTGTACAAGATGGGCCAAATAATAATATATTTCAATTAAACAGACAATGCGCCTATTTTTGAAGGAAAAGCACTTCAATTGGGGTCAATACTGAAGTGAAAAAAATTACTCGCATAGAAAAGAGCATTTGAAGTTCAGAGATCAGAAGAAGTGAATGACCAATTTTCTCAAAGTGTATTTGTTTAAATAACTCTTGGATTAAAAGATGGCGCATGGTTGAAAATCCTATCAAAAATGAATGGATAATTAATGCAAACAACAATGCCATCTTTCTATGGCATTGCTAAAAACTTGACATGTATAAATTGATAGATCAAAAATATTTTTTCATGATCAACTCTGATGTGGTCTGTTTGAGCTGTTTTTGGTGTCAAATGAAAGATCAGATACTTATTATTCCATTTCAAATACTATGAAGATCAAAAGTGAGACTTCATATACGCACTTTGTCCCTTTGAATGTAATTTTTAGGAAGTCTGGTCATCTTATAACATCATTAGGATGACATTTCATCATACTATCAGAATATATAGGTATTTGAATTTAATTCCCTTGAACTATGAATGTATTGTAACATTGGATTTCCTTGATTCCCAAATTACCCTTACTAACATTCTCCAACCATGTCAACATTATGATCCCGAGGATATATGGACTGTTATGGAAACATTGGATTTTCTGATTCGGACCTTGTAAAATTCAAAATGGCCACCTCATGTTGGGTTTACGAAAAAGACCAACCACCGACCTGTCACTCTAGTAGTCTCTACAGCTTGGAACACAGATGGTCGGACGGACATAGACCCCCATAAATTTAGTTCAAGCAGAGTTTGTGTAATTCAGTTGTCTGGTATTTATGTGCTCTTCAAATAAATAGGCAGATAGGAGGCAGAAATTAGCAAAAATGTTCCAATGAGAGGAAACAATTTTTGAAAGTGACTCCTGACCAAAAAATAATGTTTGCATCCAGAAGTTTGCATGTTTGCTTCATTGAATCAAACACTGCCAAAATGTAGCCATTTGTGTCCTATGATTGAAACATTGTTCTTCATATTCAATTAATTCATGTAAGCTCCCACCAGTTTTTTTATTATTAGAAATTATTTATTTATATTGTGAGTGATCTTTAGACTTGCAGTTTGGGCTAACTACAACATTAAAAAGTAAGAACATTTTTAGTTTCCTAGCGTTCAGAATTTGATGCATCACATGCATTGAATCACTGAACTTTCACATGTTCAAAATTCTCTGATTTATATAATTAATTAGAGATCATTTTGACTTTATATCCCATCAGACAGTTTCTCCTCGATAAGTACGAGGGTTGATCATAAAATTCTCATAATATCTCTCTAATTTCTTTATTTTTCAATATATTCTCATGAAATTTTCACAGAATGTGCAGCATAGAATGTTTTATTAATTCAGCAGATTTTTTTTAGTTTAACAGAAATATTAATTAAGAAACGATTGCCATAGTAATGGGAAGTCAAGGCACCCGGGGCAAATAAAAATAATTGAGAAAATGAGCTTAATTAACCATGTTTATATACATAATAAACTCTCATGGATTACCAAACACGTTAAAATGTTAACTTGAATATGTTGTAAAGTGCTTTAACAATTAAATAAATCGATCGTGTAAATTGTGTGATGTCATAGGGGATGCTTTCATGCTCCATTAGATGTGATACCAGAGTCTTGAGACTCAAAGCTAATGATCAGAAATGACTGGGTGAGAGAATGCAATAGATGCTGAGATCTTCAGAAAAATAAATTCATACTGATAAAATGTCATGTTAAGTTTCTAAGATCCTTTGGTCAGACTAAACATGATCTAAAACAAATATACTGCTAAGATATCAAAAAAATTACACCCTGTGTGTTGTCTGTACATGTTCAAAATGAACTGAAGGGGCAAAATCAATTTTCCTCAGGATATTTGACAAAACAGTAATGGGGTCTAACAGTCACTTCTAATGAAGCATAACAATGATCCATTATGAGATCACACAATTCACATTACCATTATGATAATGCACAGCAGTCAAGAGCCCATATTATTTGACAATTTAATGTGTTTGATAGCTTATTTGACATTTTATTATGTCTTTAAACATTGTTAATGGGGGCTATTCTAGCTAGCTTATTTATTTGCCCCGGGTGCCTTGAAGTCAAGTTACTATGACAACTATTTCTTTTTTAATGTTTCTGTTATTCTAAATATTGTTTGCTGGATTAATAAAACATTCCATGCTGCACATTCTGTGAAAATTTCATAGGAAAATATTGAAGAATAAAGAAATTAGAGAGGTATTATGAGAACTTTATGATCAACCCTCGTATGCTTGATTTGTGCAATTGAACTCCTTTTGATGGTGGTTAAGTATTTCAGGCCTTCGAAGTGCAAACCTATTATGGCCCATCTCAAAATAGATGGGTTTTCTGTATTCTCAGTCTTTTTTACTCATGATCATAAGGTTATACATCTCACATATTTATTAGATACATAAGGGTGATATGAAAATTGAACCGCTAAAACAGATGAATATTAAGTTAAAGCGAACTAATCTCCAATACCCGCCATGCTATCTGACCCGAATGAGCCACCTGGTGGTGAAACTGGTAACTACCTAC